GTTCATCAGAATAATAATCTACTTCTATTGCATCATAAATTTGTATACAATTTGTTCTACTGTATTGTTAAAATAAATATATCAATTGATATTGAAAGAAATATTTTGAATTGTGTTTTGTCAGTAAAATATTGAGATGACTGTTTACTCATCTCAATATTTTACTGACTTAATGTTCTGGAATTTTTAAGATCTTACAAACATTCCATTTTCAATGTTATCACACTTTGTTGTAACTTTTTAGACAGCAGGATGCATTGTAGTTTCTTCACTTTATTCCTTGTTCATCAGAATAATAATCTACTTCTATTGCATCATAAATTTGTATACAATTTGTTCTACTGTATTGTTAAAATAAATATATCAATTGATATTGAAAGAAATATTTTGAATTGTGTTTTGTCAGTAAAATATTGAGATGACTGTTTACTCATCTCAATATTTTACTGACTTAATGTTCTGGAATTTTTAAGATCTTACAAACATTCCATTTTCAATGTTATCACACTTTGTTGTAACTTTTTAGACAGCAGGATGCATTGTAGTTTCTTCACTTTATTCCTTGTTCATCAGAATAATAATCTACTTCTATTGCATCATAAATTTGTATACAATTTGTTCTACTGTATTGTTAAAATAAATATATCAATTGATATTGAAAGAAATATTTTGAATTGTGTTTTGTCAGTAAAATATTGAGATGACTGTTTACTCATCTCAATATTTTACTGACTTAATGTTCTGGAATTTTTAAGATCTTACAAACATTCCATTTTCAATGTTATCACACTTTGTTGTAACTTTTTAGACAGCAGGATGCATTGTAGTTTCTTCACTTTATTCCTTGTTCATCAGAATAATAATCTACTTCTATTGCATCATAAATTTGTATACAATTTGTTCTACTGTATTGTTAAAATAAATATATCAATTGATATTGAAAGAAATATTTTGAATTGTGTTTTGTCAGTAAAATATTGAGATGACTGTTTACTCATCTCAATATTTTACTGACTTAATGTTCTGGAATTTTTAAGATCTTACAAACATTCCATTTTCAATGTTATCACACTTTGTTGTAACTTTTTAGACAGCAGGATGCATTGTAGTTTCTTCACTTTATTCCTTGTTCATCAGAATAATAATCTACTTCTATTGCATCATAAATTTGTATACAAATATTGTGCAGAATGCATGCACCTATAATCGTTTTTACAATCAAGTCCATTTGACACATCTAAAAATGTTAGCAGTCTGAACCATCAAACAAGATGTGCAAATGTCAATTTAATTCCTACATTTTGATAATTTATTATTGTATAATATTTACATGCTGTTGAGATTTCCATTGTCTTGATATGGTATTAGCAAATGTTCAGATAATGGATAGGTACTATTACCCAAAATAAAGTCACAGCTGAAAAATTTATCATCATTGTTTACTCTTTAATGCAATGCTGATTGTCAGATAACACAGGCATCATGCACTGACCCAGCATTACCTACATAGACGTCTAAAAATACCTAAATTAAACTTATAGGATGACAGAGTAATACTTATCTCTTTTGAAATAAGTTGCTGCTCCTTCAGTTGATGTCTTTATAGTCATATGCTTTCCATCAATAGAACCTATAATTCCAGAGAAATCAGATTAATTATAAAAAAAATTCCATTGTTTTTGCAGCATCCTGCTGTGATGGCCAAGAGATTATTTTTCATTTTCATTTAACACTAAGAGAGAATTAACAACATTGTTTAAAATATTCCATACAGTGTGTCTAAACATATTGAAACAATCACCAATACCCTTAGAGAAAAGAAAGAAAGAAAAAAAACAATGTTTTGTATTTAATATCAATTATTTGTTGATTTTAAACTCAGTTTAGTTACACCATAAAAGAGCAACATCATTTCTATTCACTGGGTAAAACGATCACATTAAATATGTATTACATATATGTATAATCTGCTATTCTCTTACATACTACAACTGATTTCATATATTACTTCAAATAACAAACCTAAATGATTCTTGATTTGCCAAAGTCCATAGGCAGCATAAAAGCTTTTTTGAGGAGACACAAATTGTCTTCCAGGAGCAATAATTTTTTGTGTCTAAAATTGGGCTTAATTTTTTAAGGAGACTTTCAAAAGATTCTCTTGTAAGTCTAAGATGCTGTTTAAAATTGGTTCAATTATAAAAAGGTACAGTCTCTTCAATAAAAATTTCTATCTTTTATATGGATCTTGCTTTACTTTTTTCTTCTTTCATTTTTTCCACAGTTAGGGGCCATCCATAAATTACATAAGATATTTTGGGGTGGGTGGGGTCAAGGATTTCTTACGATTTCTTACTCAGGTAGAGGGTAATAGATCTTGTCTTACATAATATTCTTATTTTTATTTTTTGATCTCGTTGAGTGGTGGCATTTTGAATTTGGCGGTTTCTATTAAGAACGCTCATTGTCTCGTGTGACGTGATAGAGTAATAACGCTAGCAGATTCACATTTTTTGTCATGGGAGAAAGGCCATGTGGTGGTTTCTCTCTCTCGTTTTTTATTAGAATAAGTGAACCACTCTTATGGGTGTATAACACTAAGAATACATAAACCAAAATACATGATACAAAGTAAACATAAAATTAGTATTCGGCTTTTAGTGAAAACTAAATTGTAAAACTTGAAATTATAAATAGTCTTTTCTTCCATATTTTTTGAACATAATTGTAAAAAGCATGAAACAGTGGTTTCTGAACAAGCTTATTGAGTGGACATGACCACCTGAAACCAAGCGTAAAAATTTCTAATTTCAGAATAAGTGTATGTTGATTGTAAATTGGACAATGATAGATCACATGGTCGACGGTGTCTAGGTTTTCTGTACAGCAAAAGCAAGGAGCAGTTTCTGCCCGGTTATACATCATCAGGTAGCTTCTAAAATTAACATGCTCAGTAAGTAGTTGAGCAGTAGCAAACATTAAATCTCTTAGTAGTGATGACAACCTATATTCAACACTAGGAAATCAAAGTCTTGTTATTCTACCAGTTTTACTGTTCAACTACTTTTATTGATTCCACTTTTGCATAGCATTGTCATGAATATAATTTTTAAGGCTGTTATGTGAGAGAGGGATGCAAGTGTAGTCCAAATCAGAGTCCTTTGCAGCTGACTTAGGCTCAGAGTTGGCTTTTTCATTTCCTAGTATACCAGTATGGCCAGGAACAAATATAAAAGTTATCTTATTTACAAGATTTTTAATATGGTGCTGAATATATACTATTTTATTGCTATTGCAATTGGGATTTAATAGAGCTTTTAGGACAGACTGAGAATCACTGTAAATGTTGATAAACAGAGTTTTGTTTGGTAGTGAAGTGGCCCACTGAACAGCTTGGTAGTCAGCATCTTCTTCAGTTTGATAGATGGAGGTATGTGGGGAGTATCTGTACCTTCTAACATATTTTGGGCAAAATATGTCAGTTTGGAGGAAGATACAGATATTTAAGCCAACATGAACGGGGTTTTTTGACCCATCTGTGTAGATATTAATGTCTGCATGGTTATCCATGGAGGAAGCAGATGACCCAAATGTACCCTGTGTACACATTTAGTAGGGTAATTGCAATGTGGTAGCATATGAACAGCCCTAAATAGGAGTAGAGACTGTTGTTGAGCTTGATGTTTGTAGTTCTGATATAGTAGTTTAGAACCTTTTCTTACAATACATAGTGGCAAAGAAAGGAGCTCTGCTAGTATCAGAGAGGCATTAGTAAAAACAGTTCTGAAGCACTTTGAAATTCTGATGGAAACTGGCTTTGAAGAGAAAGTAATTTACTTGCTATTGAATTTTTACTAGTTACATAACCACAGCCAGAGGCCGCATAAAGTAGCATTAGTTATATTTTCCCATTATATAGAGTTTTATAAGCTTTATTATTTAGTCCCCAGGTGCACCTAGCACATTTTAGTAGCATGTAGTTTATTTTCTTGGCCTTAGCCAAGATGTAATTAAATATGGCAACGGAATGTAGTTTCTCTCTATTCTCTCTTGTTTTATCATATTTTGTATGATGTTTCTGTTTACACATGCACTAGCTAGTCAATCAGACAAAGTTTTTTGCGTCTTTTGCGAGAATTAAAATTAATATAAAAATAAATATTAAGACGTTGATTAATGATAATAATATTGTTAATAATTAATAAACAATTTATTTTAAGAACTTTATTTAGTTCTTAAAATAAATTGTTCATTTGAATTCATTAAGTTTTTATATTTTTAAATTTGTTCATATAAAGTCTTTTATAGATAATAGTACATATTAATTAACTAATTAATAATTATATATTTTGGACCTAAGGTTTTTAGAGTTTCATAAAAAATATTTTTTTGGTTAAAATCTTGCTCTAAAATCATACCAAAATATTACGTAAGATAGGGAAGGGGGATCAAAGAAAATATTACGGTTTCTTACACGGGTGGGTGGGGGTCTAGAATGGCCGAAATCACCCTTACATAATTTACGGACAGCCCCTTATATCCATAATAAGATCATTCTCGTCCAATTCAAAATCAAATAATTCTATCTGTAACATAACATTTAAAATGGCAGCTTTGACAATATTATTTGCAGAAAACTGCCATATTTCTTGTTAGCATTTGCATTTACTTTTGAACTGGACATGTAAGCCTGAATACACATGCTAATGATGTCACTTCTGATGTTCAGAAGTAGCACTATTAGCTCAGAAGTAAATGCACCCTATGTATGTGTTTTGAGATAATGAGTACTAGGTTCCTACAATATAATAAGTGAAATTTTATTGATAGTTTTTTATACATTTACAATAAATGTTTGAACTGTCACCACTTCAAACATTTATTTATCAAACATAATCTTCTCATAATGAAATATGAACTAAAGTTTTAGTTTATTCTATGGTTTTTTATTACTTCAAATATAATCTTCAAATTTTATAAATTTAAACTTCAACTATTAGTTCACTATATCTATTAATTTTATTATTTTATTTAAATAATAATCTGTCAATTTTTAGTCCCAGTAAACAACCAGAAAAACCAAAGGACACAGAATGGTCTGAAATACCAAGTGATGTTGTACATCTTACTGATGCTACCTTTGATAGTGTTTTGATTAAAGAATCTTCTGTTTTAGTGATGTTTTATGCACCTTGTAAGTTTAACACAATTTTAATTTTTTCAGATGTATTAAATTATTGTTAATTTTTTGTGTATTTTTTTTACTTTTTTTTATGAATTATAGTAAATTTTCTATATCATATTTATTAATGTATTATTTCTTTTTTTTTATTATTCCTACATGATTGTAGAGTTTAATAAAATATTTTTTATCTTCTATTAATCATTAAATAATATTATTGAAATCTGTATTAACCAAAGATGTAAAATCTAGACTATTTTACATGTTAGACTATTTTATTAGACTTCTTATCTAAATTAGACTATTTTACCATATTGTTAATTAAAAAACATCTAAACAGCTACACATGCCAAATATTAATATAAAAGGAAACATGTATATCACTGTCTGTTGGCATTACGAAAAAAATGATTTAATCAAATCCATCCAATGAACAAAGTGATAATAAATACAGATACATTGCACTAACCCTTGGGTAGCTTTGCAGATAATATTTCGAATGTAACACTAATGTTTTCAACCCATTTCTATGGTCTAATGTAAGGAGGTGTTTTATTGGGAACCATGTGATTTAGAATTTTAGAAGGCTAAACAGTGCTATTTACAACTCCAGTATGTCCAGAGTGGGAGAGTTGCACAGTGAAAACAATAAGATGTAAAATGATTTACATTTCAAGTGATTTTGCAAATATAATACTATACCCTTTCAAAATCCCTTAACTGGGTTGAAACTATCATATATTGGAGCCACTACTAGAATGCTTCATCTCCATCTTGCAGAACATTGTGATGATATAGCACATAGCAAGTGTACAACAGAATTAGCTAAAAAGCAATAGAATGTTACATTCTTTGAACCAATTTGATCACAAGTTTCCCTCTAAAACACTGTGGGGATCAAAAAACATTATTTATAAAAACCTCTCATTGTTGTCACTGTGCAACTCTTTCATGCTGGATATACTGGAGTTTTGGATAGCACTGTTTAGCTTTCTAAGGTACTAGTATTAATTTTTGTCTTTATTCAAAATATATTTATGTATTTATTATGGTATTATTTTTTAAACAATCTGTATTTATATAACAACTTGATATTATTTTTATTTTAAGGGTGTGGTCACTGTAAAAAAATGAAACCAGAGTATATAAATGCAGCTACTAATTTAAAAATGCAAAATGTAATTATATTTTTTCTATTTTAAAATTTTCTTTAGGATCATTATATGAAAATGTGACTTTTGTTTTTATTATTGTTTTATTTATTTTTCTAACATTTATCATTTTATTTTATAATAATAATTTATTATGGTGAATATGATTTTTAAATTTAATTATTACACCAATAAAGCATTTATTTGAAATATATTAGAATCTTGAATTTTGAATAATTCAATTCATGAGAAAGTTAGTTTAATAAAGTTTGCTTGTATGCTTTTTGGAAACTATTTTATTATTCTGTAAAAATTAAAATTATGTAAAAATAATTGTTATCATCTAAGATAATTTGAATTATAATTTATTTTTAATTATTTATTCTTTTTATTAGAAGCTTTTCAGCATTAAAAATTTAATCTTAAAATAAATTTATGTTATATTAGATACCAGGAGTATTAGGTGCTGTTGATGCAACTAAAGAAAAAAGTATTGCTGAACGGTACAAAATCACAGGATATCCTACAGTTAAATATTTTAAGTAAGTTAAATCATGATTTAAGAAATATTTCAAGTAAAATTATAATAATTTTAATTTGAAATATTGATTCTTAAATAACTATTATATTTTAGAAATGGAGAATTTCTTTTTGATGTAAATCTGAGAACAGCAGACAAAATAGAGGAATTTATGAAAGAGTGAGTTAATTTTGATTGAGTATTATGTATTTCAAATGTGTATACATATGTATATATTTCATTTTAATACAAATTCAAGTAATGATATAAACTTATTCCTGATATAATAATCATGTGCTGTAAATTATCTTAACCTCTTCACTACCAGCCAATATATGACTGCATGTTTGGCCCCAGGCCAGCCAATAATTGAAAAAAATCAGTTTAATGAAGTAAATTTTGTAAAACTACAAAAGGTGATCATAAATAACTATTTACAAAGTTTAAAAAAATTTTTTTGGTATAAAAATTTCAAAACAAAGTGATATAATGTAAATTTTGTAAAACTAGAAGTTACTATTTACATGCTTTAAAATATTTTTCTTTGTATGAAATATTGCATTTATTATTCAAACCAAGAGGGCAGAATTATTGCATTGCACACACTCAGTTTGAGTTTCTTTTCTTATTTTGTTTTTCTTACACACAATACATCTCTTTGATCTCTTGGTAGGATACTTTTTACACTTAATTGCTGAAATATCATTGGAGAAATGCCTTTCTTTTAGACGTTTAGGTGGTAGTTCATTTGATCTATGTCCTCCAGTGTATTCCTTTCTTGCTATGTGATGGTTTTCAATTAGTTCTTTTACAAGCATTTTTTGGAGTTCCAACAATGTTATGTTTGAGTTATGAAGATTGTTGTAAACAGTAAACAAATTGAATACAGTTATATCTAACATGTGCAAGAAATATTTTTTGTATCACTTTAATGTTTTTTGTATTGATGGATAAGTATTCTCCATTTGGTCTGAGTTGACTCCTCTCATGTACTCATTATATTCTATCACACATTTTGGTTTCAAAATTTTTTCTCTTGTCTTTCTTACATTTTTTTTTGTTTCTACAAAATCTGAAGCAACATGAGTGGACAGCATAACTATAGGACACTTTATCTTTCCAGGAGGTAACACACATAATTACAAAAATAAACATTGCATTCTTCTTTTTTCAAATTCTTTGTCTTTAGCTCTTTTGGCATGCCTAATCTGTTTGGCTGAACAGTGCCACATACATTGATTTTAATTTCTTTTAACAGTTTACATAAGTTGAGTGGACTACACCATCAATCAATGTATAAGAACCTTCCTGTATTTTTCATTTTGTCAAGCAAAGTCAAGATGACTGCTGCACCAAGGCCAAACTTTTTTTGTAATTCTGAGTCAACATCACACCCTTTTCCAGAGTAAGTGATACTATTCCAAACATAACCTGTTGTGCTTTCGCACAACTCAAAGCTTTCAAAGCTTTTTATTCAAAACTTAGCCTGTTTTGCAGGAATATACTACCTGAATCCCAAACACCCTTTCCATAGCATAAGTGACTCATCTATAGCAATATGTTTACCTGGCCAGTAAACAGTTTTGAATCTTAATACTAAATACTCATAAACTTGGCAGATTTTGATGAATTTGTCTGTACCATTGCATTCACAAGTGAAATGAAAAAATTTCAGAATTAACTGAAAATTATTTTTTGCCATTATTTCACCAAATCCAGGGGCAGAGAAAATACTTTGAGTTAACCAATAACTTACAATAGTGGGTTTTCTGATAATTTCCATCAAAATAAATATAATAAAAAATTATAACATTTCACAAACAGATACTAATTTCCATTGCAAAAGTCCACATAATTCTATGGTAATACACATGAACTGGGTCTAATTGTAATAAAAAACATTCACAAAATCTTTGTATCTCCAGTTGTAAATTTTTTATTAGTGACTATCATTTTTGATCTTAAACAGATCTTCTTCACATCTGAATACACAATCAAATTAGAATGCGAAATAGAACATATTATTTTAAAAAATTGGAGCAACAAATAAACGTATACATAACGTAATTAGATATAAAATTTTAAAAAAATATCAGTAATGATTTTTTTAAATTACAAAAAGTGAATAAAAATATTATTTAAAATGAAATATAATGCACAGTTATAATCCATGTTTGTAATTCATGTTTGCCGTCAATCAGTGGGGGTAATTGTTTTTCACATAAATATTGCCATGCTTTAGATAAAGGCTGTTCTTTAAAGTTGATGTTATTTTCCTTTATTACTGATTTATGAATTTTGATGGTTTGGATATGTTCTATGTTTGGGCATTGTTTGATAATACATGCATTGTCAAAGTCTACTTCCACATTCTGTTCAGAGGCAAACATGGCAAGGACACTGGTTAGCTTTTTTTGCTTAATGTCATATCTGTGTTCCTGTAGACACTTATGGAGTGATATTGAGATGCAATAGACACCTGAAATACATCAGTGCTACTAGATGCTTACTCCATAAGCATTTACAGGAACACAGATATGACATTAAGTAGACTTTGACAATGCATGTATTATCAAACAATGTCCAAACATAGAACATATCCAAACCCTCGAGGCACTGGAAATTCATAAATCAGTAATAAGGGAAAATAACATCAACTTAAAGAACAGTTTCTATCTAAAGCATGGCAATATTTATGTGAAAAACAATTACCCCCATTGATTGACGGCAAACATGCATTACAAACACAGATAATAATTATGCATTATATTTAATTTTAAATAATACAGTAGATTGTCATTTATCCGAAACATCGGTTAACCGAAAGCATTCCAGTTGGCATATTTAAATTTTCGTTAGTGCTGTGGTGCTGCAATCTTTGGCTATGTCTTGGGCTACTCCAATATTTTTTTTGTTGGTATGTATGTTTTAGCTGGCAGCACTGGCAATTTTGTGTGGTGCTTTTCTGAGGACTGTGTGTTGTGCTGAATCAAACGTTTTTGATACTAGATTAACTTCTAAAGTATAATCTTTTTCTTTTTATATTTTTCAATATATTTATTTTGTTTGTAAAAAATAAAGAAATAATTTTTAACAATACAATAGCCACGATTATTATTTTAAAAAGTTTACGTTATGCTTAACATCAACGAAAATTCAATGCAAAGCGACATGCAACGGAGAAAAATTTCAACATGGGATAGGTTAATATATTTTTTCGTACATAATTGGTTATCCGAAAAATAAGTTATTCAAACAACCTCAGTCCCCAATTGATTTGGATAAACAATGCTCTACTGTATTTTATTTTTATTTTAACTTTTTGTAATTTTAAAAAATCATTATTGATACTTTTTTATTTTTATTTTATATCTAATTATGTTATGTATTTGTTTATTGGTTGTTCCAATTTTTTAAACTAGTATGTTCTATTTCGCATTCTAATTCTGTTGAGTATTCATACCTGAAGATATGTTTAAGATTGAAAACATTAGTTGCTAATAAAAATTTACAACTGGAGATAAAAAGGTTTTGTGGACATTTTATTTTAAAAATTCTACATGCAGATGTCAACTCTTCATTTTCTTTCAAAAAATTAACCACCTCATCAGCATATCCATCTGTTTCATTTACAATCAATTCAATGAGGTAATCAGTAAAAAATACTTTAAATACATCATAAGCAGTACTTACATCAGATAAATTTTTATCAGGAGAAACACCAAGAAAATCAAGAAAATTGTGGTACATAGACATAAATTTACAGTTTTTAGATTTTTTTTTCCACTCAGACTCATTGTTTCTTTTCATTACTTTCCACTGGTTCATTTCTGAGCTTTCAGTTTCAATTTCACTTTCACCAGTACTAGTTTTCCATTTTTGCATGAATAGTCCTTACTGAGGTCATCACTTTACAGACTATGTTAGTGTCTGTAAAGTGTTCACTGCTGACATCACTATTACAAAATAGCATAATTTCTACCTCATTTACCTCCATATATTGTCTATTATGACAAGAAACTGTCAATGATGTAGACAAATTCATAGCAATGGCCATGTTTATTTTCACCAAAACCCACAAGACTGCATGCTTGAAGTAAAAAAATTCATGGACAGCTTACACCATCTAGAAACTTAATACTAATTATAAAGCTAAAAGACACACCTAGAAACACAGCCAATCAGCATCACCAAAACAGCAACCAATCACATAGGACAAATTTTTAAAACCAGGAAATGAGATATATATATCTTTTATTTTTATGGACGAGATATCTTTTTCATAATAATGATTGAATTCTCTTTCTTCTTAATTCTGTGATAAGCAGGGGGTCACGACAGATTCAAGTGACCACTTATCTGCATGGAATCTCACGATTCGACCACTTTGTCAATGGATGGCTTCTGAAAGTTTTGGGTAGACCAGGTGTTCATGTAAACCCCTGGTAGTTGTTTTTCAAACACCAGTTAATCAATTTAATTCACAGATTAACACGCTTATAATGAGGAATGACAAGCTGGAGGGACGTATGTACGTGGTGATGGCATAGGTGGGGATATGAGTCAGGGATGAGATCATCTTTAGAGTAACAAACAAAAATATTTAATAAAACGAAACAAAAATTATAAATCGAGATTACAAAAAATATTAAGCTTGCTACTATGCGAGAGGGAGAGATTACAATTTTCGTAAATCATGCAACCTCAACAGGTTCTTTTATACTTGGGTTTTCCCGTTGTCTTCTCCTTTAGGAGTGTCGAGGAATAGGTTCGTGGAAATTCAGGAACTCATCAGGTTCTTTATTTCTTTGTCTTGGGAATTTTGGAGATGGCACTTCATTAAAATGGCTTCTTTTTGTGGAGGAATGACAACTGATCTTTCATAGACTTTGGGTGTTGGCTGTTGAGAGACGGCATGGAATACGTCCTTCTCCTCTGTGAAGTTCTGGCGCACTCCCCAAACAATAAGAAAGAATCCCCTTTTTTGTGGATTTCTTCCAATGAGCATATCGTATTTTTCCCACGTGAACTGGATGAGTGGGGAATTGCATAGGGGTTGACTCGTAGTTTGTGACTCAGTTTTTAAAGATAAGGGCGAAAGATAAAGGATATACAACTTACGTTGGAGATGAAGTGTGTTTTTACGGTTTCCTTTGTTTTTGAAAATAAAACTTTTTCATCAAAATTATAAAATATTACTTCTAAAATTATTATTTCGTTGAAGTTAATTTAAATAAACAAGAGGGGGTGGTCAAAATCTCACAATTCTATTTTATTCATAATTGTTAAATAATCAAATCTTAATGATTTTTCTATGGTATTTCTATATTTTTTGAAAATTGTTACAGGATATAAATATAAAAAATATATATTTATGGCATTTCAAATTTTTAAATCTTTAGCGTTATCAAACTTTTAAATTGAGTTTTTCCACTCATTATTTAGTGCTAAATTCATTGCCAGTTTGTAATTATTATTTTGTATATAAAATATTTATACTTCTATAGTATGCATGAAATATTGTATCTGTAGCATGCAAATACAAATATATATATATATTTTCTTATGGATAATTTTATTTCAGTCCAAAAGAGCCTCCACCTCCACCACCACCTGAAATTCCTTGGCACAGCATACCAAGTGATGTTGTACATTTAGATGAAGAAAATTTTAAACCATTTTTAAAAAGAAAGAAACATGTTTTAGTAATGTTTTATGCTCCATGTAAGTGAACATTGTAAGTTGGATCTTTAAAATTTATTGTCTTATAAATTATAACTTTGTAGAATTTAATTAAATGTACATCGGATAGAAAGACAAAGAAAATGAAATCCGGTCAGACTGGAAAGTGTATTTGTGTCTGTGTCAAAGCAGAGAAGGGCAGAAAGAAGAGAAGTCGAAAAATTAAATGTACTTTTAGCTTACTTAATTATAAAGACAATTTAATATTAGTTTAGTTGTAAAATATAATTTTTATCTCTAGAAAACATTTTAGAAATTTAAATAACAAATGAGTGCCACTGCTCCATCTATTAGACCAGTGTTTCTCAACAGGGGCGATATTGCCCCATGTGGGCATTTTTCCATGTTGAGGGGCGATTAGTAATAATTTATATNGCAGAGTACTTCACAGTAAGCCTTAATCCTGTCCATCTCCCCCAGGGGGATTTGAAAGACAAAGAAAATGAAATCCGGTCAGACTGGAAAGTGTATTTGTGTCTGTGTCAAAGCAGAGAAGGGCAGAAAGAAGAGAAGTCGAAAAATTAAATGTACTTTTAGCTTACTTAATTATAAAGACAATTTAATATTAGTTTAGTTGTAAAATATAATTTTTATCTCTAGAAAACATTTTAGAAATTTAAATAACAAATGAGTGCCACTGCTCCATCTATTAGACCAGTGTTTCTCAACAGGGGCGATATTGCCCCATGTGGGCATTTTTCCATGTTGAGGGGCGATTAGTAATAATTTATGTTTTAGGGGCAAAAAACAATTTTCTGGGCGATAGAGTAAAATGTTATATTAAGAATAATTAGATATTTTATTTGTTATATCATACAATAATTAAACAAATAACATTATACTAGTTACAAGTNTAAGTTAAATCATGATTTAAGAAATATTTCAAGTAAAATTATAATAATTTTAATTTGAAATATTGATTCTTAAATAACTATTATATTTTAGAAATGGAGAATTTCTTTTTGATGTAAATCTGAGAACAGCAGACAAAATAGAGGAATTTATGAAAGAGTGAGTTAATTTTGATTGAGTATTATGTATTTCAAATGTGTATACATATGTATATATTTCATTTTAATACAAATTCAAGTAATGATATAAACTTATTCCTGATATAATAATCATGTGCTGTAAATTATCTTAACCTCTTCACTACCAGCCAATATATGACTGCATGTTTGGCCCCAGGCCAGCCAATAATTGAAAAAAATCAGTTTAATGAAGTAAATTTTGTAAAACTACAAAAGGTGATCATAAATAACTATTTACAAAGTTTAAAAAAAATTTTTTGGTATAAAAATTTCAAAACAAAGTGATATAATGTAAATTTTGTAAAACTAGAAGTTACTATTTACATGCTTTAAAATATTTTTCTTTGTATGAAATATTGCATTTATTATTCAAACCAAGAGGGCAGAATTATTGCATTGCACACACTCAGTTTGAGTTTCTTTTCTTATTTTGTTTTTCTTACACACAATACATCTCTTTGATCTCTTGGTAGGATACTTTTTACACTTAATTGCTGAAATATCATTGGAGAAATGCCTTTCTTTTAGACGTTTAGGTGGTAGTTCATTTGATCTATGTCCTCCAGTGTATTCCTTTCTTGCTATGTGATGGTTTTCAATTAGTTCTTTTACAAGCATTTTTTGGAGTTCCAACAATGTTATGTTTGAGTTATGAAGATTGTTGTAAACAGTAAACAAATTGAATACAGTTATATCTAACATGTGCAAGAAATATTTTTTGTATCACTTTAATGTTTTTTGTATTGATGGATAAGTATTCTCCATTTGGTCTGAGTTGACTCCTCTCATGTACTCATTATATTCTATCACACATTTTGGTTTCAAAATTTTTTCTCTTGTCTTTCTTACATTTTTTTTTGTTTCTACAAAATCTGAAGCAACATGAGTGGACAGCATAACTATAGGACACTTTATCTTTCCAGGAGGTAACACACATAATTACAAAAATAAACATTGCATTCTTCTTTTTTCAAATTCTTTGTCTTTAGCTCTTTTGGCATGCCTAATCTGTTTGGCTGAACAGTGCCACATACATTGATTTTAATTTCTTTTAACAGTTTACATAAGTTGAGTGGACTACACCATCAATCAATGTATAAGAACCTTCCTGTATTTTTCATTTTGTCAAGCAAAGTCAAGATGACTGCTGCACCAAGGCCAAACTTTTTTTGTAATTCTGAGTCAACATCACACCCTTTTCCAGAGTAAGTGATACTATTCCAAACATAACCTGTTGTGCTTTCGCACAACTCAAAGCTTTCAAAGCTTTTTATTCAAAACTTAGCCTGTTTTGCAGGAATATACTACCTGAATCCCAAACACCCTTTCCATAGCATAAGTGACTCATCTATAGCAATATGTTTACCTGGCCAGTAAACAGTTTTGAATCTTAATACTAAATACTCATAAACTTGGCAGATTTTGATGAATTTGTCTGTACCATTGCATTCACAAGTGAAATGAAAAAATTTCAGAATTAACTGAAAATTATTTTTTGCCATTATTTCACCAAATCCAGGGGCAGAGAAAATACTTTGAGTTAACCAATAACTTACAATAGTGGGTTTTCTGATAATTTCCATCAAAATAAATATAATAAAAAATTATAACATTTCACAAACAGATACTAATTTCCATTGCAAAAATCCACATAATTCTATGGTAATACACATGAACTGGGTCTAATTGTAATAAAAAACATTCACAAAATCTTTGTATCTCCAGTTGTAAATTTTTTATTAGTGACTATCATTTTTGATCTTAAACAGATCTTCTTCACATCTGAATACACAATCAAATTAGAATGCGAAATAGAACATATTATTTTAAAAAATTGGAGCAACAAATAAACGTATACATAACGTAATTAGATATAAAATTTTAAAAAAATATCAGTAATGATTTTTTTAAATTACAAAAAGTGAATAAAAATATTATTTAAAATGAAATATAATGCACAGTTATAATCCATGTTTGTAATTCATGTTTGCCGTCAATCAGTGGGGGTAATTGTTTTTCACATAAATATTGCCATGCTTTAGATAAAGGCTGTTCTTTAAAGTTGATGTTATTTTCCTTTATTACTGATTTATGAATTTTGATGGTTTGGATATGTTCTATGTTTGGGCATTGTTTGATAATACATGCATTGTCAAAGTCTACTTCCACATTCTGTTCAGAGGCAAACATGGCAAGGACACTGGTTAGCTTTTTTTGCTTAATGTCATATCTGTGTTCCTGTAGACACTTATGGAGTGATATTGAGATGCAATAGACACCTGAAATACATCAGTGCTACTAGATGCTTACTCCATAAGCATTTACAGGAACACAGATATGACATTAAGTAGACTTTGACAATGCATGTATTATCAAACAATGTCCAAACATAGAACATATCCAAACCCTCGAGGCACTGGAAATTCATAAATCAGTAATAAGGGAAAATAACATCAACTTAAAGAACAGTTTCTATCTAAAGCATGGCAATATTTATGTGAAAAACAATTACCCCCATTGATTGACGGCAAACATGCATTACAAACACAGATAATAATTATGCATTATATTTAATTTTAAATAATACAGTAGATTGTCATTTATCCGAAACATCGGTTAACCGAAAGCATTCCAGTTGGCATATTTAAATTTTCGTTAGTGCTGTGGTGCTGCAATCTTTGGCTATGTCTTGGGCTACTCCAATATTTTTTTTGTTGGTATGTATGTTTTAGCTGGCAGCACTGGCAATTTTGTGTGGTGCTTTTCTGAGGACTGTGTGTTGTGCTGAATCAAACGTTTTTGATACTAGATTAACTTCTAAAGTATAATCTTTTTCTTTTTATATTTTTCAATATATTTATTTTGTTTGTAAAAAATAAAGAAATAATTTTTAACAATACAATAGCCACGATTATTATTTTAAAAAGTTTACGTTATGCTTAACATCAACGAAAATTCAATGCAAAGCGACATGCAACGGAGAAAAATTTCAACATGGGATAGGTTAATATATTTTTTCGTACATAATTGGTTATCCGAAAAATAAGTTATTCAAACAACCTCAGTCCCCAATTGATTTGGATAAACAATGCTCTACTGTATTTTATTTTTATTTTAACTTTTTGTAATTTTAAAAAATCATTATTGATACTTTTTTATTTTTATTTTATATCTAATTATGTTATGTATTTGTTTATTGGTTGTTCCAATTTTTTAAACTAGTATGTTCTATTTCGCATTCTAATTCTGTTGTGTATTCATACCTGAAGATATGTTTAAGATTGAAAACATTAGTTGCTAATAAAAATTTACAACTGGAGATAAAAAGGTTTTGTGGACATTTTATTTTAAAAATTCTACATGCAGATGTCAACTCTTCATTTTCTTTCAAAAAATTAACCACCTCATCAGCATATCCATCTGTTTCATTTACAATCAATTCAATGAGGTAATCAGTAAAAAATACTTTAAATACATCATAAGCAGTACTTACATCAGATAAATTTTTATCAGGAGAAACACCAAGAAAATCAAGAAAATTGTGGTACATAGACATAAATTTACAGTTTTTAGATTTTTTTTTCCACTCAGACTCATTGTTTCTTTTCATTACTTTCCACTGGTTCATTTCTGAGCTTTCAGTTTCAATTTCACTTTCACCAGTACTAGTTTTCCATTTTTGCATGAATAGTCCTTACTGAGGTCATCACTTTACAGACTATGTTAGTGTCTGTAAAGTGTTCACTGCTGACATCACTATTACAAAATAGCATAATTTCTACCTCATTTACCTCCATATATTGTCTATTATGACAAGAAACTGTCAATGATGTAGACAAATTCATAGCAATGGCCATGTTTATTTTCACCAAAACCCACAAGACTGCATGCTTGAAGTAAAAAAATTCATGGACAGCTTACACCATCTAGAAACTTAATACTAATTATAAAGCTAAAAGACACACCTAGAAACACAGCCAATCAGCATCACCAAAACAGCAACCAATCACATAGGACAAATTTTTAAAACCAGGAAATGAGATATATATATCTTTTATTTTTATGGACGAGATATCTTTTTCATAATAATGATTGAATTCTCTTTCTTCTTAATTCTGTGATAAGCAGGGGGTCACGACAGATTCAAGTGACCACTTATCTGCATGGAATCTCACGATTCGACCACTTTGTCAATGGATGGCTTCTGAAAGTTTTGGGTAGACCAGGTGTTCATGTAAACCCCTGGTAGTTGTTTTTCAAACACCAGTTAATCAATTTAATTCACAGATTAACACGCTTATAATGAGGAATGACAAGCTGGAGGGACGTATGTACGTGGTGATGGCATAGGTGGGGATATGAGTCAGGGATGAGATCATCTTTAGAGTAACAAACAAAAATATTTAATAAAACGAAACAAAAATTATAAATCGAGATTACAAAAAATATTAAGCTTGCTACTATGCGAGAGGGAGAGATTACAATTTTCGTAAATCATGCAACCTCAACAGGTTCTTTTATACTTGGGTTTTCCCGTTGTCTTCTCCTTTAGGAGTGTCGAGGAATAGGTTCGTGGAAATTCAGGAACTCATCAGGTTCTTTATTTCTTTGTCTTGGGAATTTTGGAGATGGCACTTCATTAAAATGGCTTCTTTTTGTGGAGGAATGACAACTGATCTTTCATAGACTTTGGGTGTTGGCTGTTGAGAGACGGCATGGAATACGTCCTTCTCCTCTGTGAAGTTCTGGCGCACTCCCCAAACAATAAGAAAGAATCCCCTTTTTTGTGGATTTCTTCCAATGAGCATATCGTATTTTTCCCACGTGAACTGGATGAGTGGGGAATTGCATAGGGGTTGACTCGTAGTTTGTGACTCAGTTTTTAAAGATAAGGGCGAAAGATAAAGGATATACAACTTACGTTGGAGATGAAGTGTGTTTTTACGGTTTCCTTTGTTTTTGAAAATAAAACTTTTTCATCAAAATTATAAAATATTACTTCTAAAATTATTATTTCGTTGAAGTTAATTTAAATAAACAAGAGGGGGTGGTCAAAATCTCACAATTCTATTTTATTCATAATTGTTAAATAATCAAATCTTAATGATTTTTCTATGGTATTTCTATATTTTTTGAAAATTGTTACAGGATATAAATATAAAAAATATATATTTATGGCATTTCAAATTTTTAAATCTTTAGCGTTATCAAACTTTTAAATTGAGTTTTTCCACTCATTATTTAGTGCTAAATTCATTGCCAGTTTGTAATTATTATTTTGTATATAAAATATTTATACTTCTATAGTATGCATGAAATATTGTATCTGTAGCATGCAAATACAAATATATATATATATTTTCTTATGGATAATTTTATTTCAGTCCAAAAGAGCCTCCACCTCCACCACCACCTGAAATTCCTTGGCACAGCATACCAAGTGATGTTGTACATTTAGATGAAGAAAATTTTAAACCATTTTTAAAAAGAAAGAAACATGTTTTAGTAATGTTTTATGCTCCATGTAAGTGAACATTGTAAGTTGGATCTTTAAAATTTATTGTCTTATAAATTATAACTTTGTAGAATTTAATTAAATGTACATCGGATAGAAAGACAAAGAAAATGAAATCCGGTCAGACTGGAAAGTGTATTTGTGTCTGTGTCAAAGCAGAGAAGGGCGGAAAGAAGAGAAGTCGAAAAATTAAATGTACTTTTAGCTTACTTAATTATAAAGACAATTTAATATTAGTTTAGTTGTAAAATATAATTTTTATCTCTAGAAAACATTTTAGAAATTTAAATAACAAATGAGTGCCACTGCTCCATCTATTAGACCAGTGTTTCTCAACAGGGGCGATATTGCCCCATGTGGGCATTTTTCCATGTTGAGGGGCGATTAGTAATAATTTATGTTTTAGGGGCAAAAAACAATTTTCTGGGCGATAGAGTAAAATGTTATATTAAGAATAATTAGATATTTTATTTGTTATATCATACAATAATTAAACAAATAACATTATACTAGTTACAAGTCTATTCGATGCAGTACGAATTTGGCGTTAGCCTCGGCCCTGGGCATTGGAATTTTGAAGTGAAGCTATGTAACGGTAACGGTAAGCGGCGATACTATGTAACGGTTTTATTGAAGGGGGGTGATACTACGTTGAAGGGGGCACGATTCGTTAGAGGTTGAGAAACACTGTACTAGACTGTCAGGGCAATATAGCCGCATAGCTTCTGCCCAACCATAACCGATAACCCATATCTCATGTATATGAACAAAGAACATTATTTTAAAACTAGCTGCAAGGACCCGCTTTGCTGGGTTTTTATTTGTTCGTACATTTGTATGTAATATAGTTTTTTTTATATATATAAAAGACTGTTTTTCTAAGTAATCTAGAATCTAGCTGCAAGGACCCATTTCGCTGGGTTTTTAAAAAGTAACGATAGTGAAGATTAAGATAATTACATTATAGCCAATCTTACCCGTTTTCACAGAATGCAAGAATTAGGTCTCCCGTTTCTGATTAGAGATCTGGTCCCGATTCTATTTCTGAACGTCTCCTGTTCACGTCAAGTCAAACGAACTATTTTCAACGTTTCTGGAACGTTTACAATCGTTCTATAATCGAACCAATATTCGAATTTTATGTTCGAATTT